CCATCGGTTTGTGGGTGGCTCGACGTACTAAACTTCAGTTTAGTACCCAACTTTCTCCATAGGGTCATCCAAAAATGGCTAAGGAATTTCGTGTCCCTATCCGAGACCATGCTTCGGGGAACGCCATGGAGTTTGACTATCTCTCGGAAATAGAGATCAGCAACTTGGGAAGCATCATAGGTGGTGAGGCATGGTACAAAGTGGGCCATCTTTGAAAACCGGTCCACGACGACCATGATGGAATCTTTGCCTCGTTGTGTCCTCGGCAGCCCGGTGATGAAGTCCAAGCTGATATCTTCCCATGGAGCAAGGGGAACGGGCAAGGGCAAATGCTTTCCTTGGGGCAGCGACTGACTTTTGGCGAGGTGGCACGTGTTGCAACGCTTGATGAAGTGCTCCACGTCTCGTTCCATTATTGGCCAGTGGTAGTGTTCCTTCATCATCATGTGAGTCTTATCGACCCCATAATGACCAGCTAGGCCTCCTCCATGAACTTCATCAATAAGGGTTTCTCTAATGCTGCTTTTCGGGATGCAAAGTTGGTTGCCTCGGAATAGAAAACCATCCTTGATTAGGAATTCTCCATGTGGCCGAATAAGGCACTTGGAATAAGTGTCCTTGAAGTCTTCATCCTCTTTGTAAAGTTCCTGCAAAAATTCAAAACCAACAAGTTTGGTACTAAGTACCGTTAGTAATAAGTGCCTTCGGGACAAGGCATCGGCACCCTTGTTCATGGTTCCGTTTTTGTGCTTGATGGTGAAGGTGAGAGTTTGGATGTATTCGACCCATTTAGCATGACGGGGCCGGAGCTTATGCTGCCCTTGAATGTATTTTAACGCTTCATGATCAGAATGTAATATCAACTCCTTGCTCACGATAATGACGTCAATGCTCAAGTGACCGCACCAATGCGTAGAACTCCTTGTCGTATGTGGAATACCTCCTTCTCGTGTCGTTTAGCTTCTCGCTGAAATAAGACACCGGGTGCCCTTCTTGGGATAGGACAGCCCCGATTCCGACTCCTGAGGCATCACACTCGACCTCAAATAGTTTGTCAAAACTAGGAAGGGCTAACACGGGGGCATGTGTTAATCGCTCCTTGATTGTTTCAAAGGCCTGTTGGGCCTTGGAGTTCCACTCGAACTTCTGGTTTTTCGTCAAATCCGTGATAGGTGCCGTGATGGTGCTGAAATCCTTCACAAATCTCCGGTAGAAAGAGGCAAGGCCATGAAAACTCCGAACTTGTTGCATAGTGGCGGGGGTCGGCCATTCTCTAATGGCTTGCGTCTTCTTTTCGTCCACCCGTATGCCTTCACTTGAGATAAAATATCCCAAGAACTCTGTTTCATACGCAAAGAATTGGCTCTTCTCGAGGTTGCCGTAGAGTTTCTCCTCGTCCAACTTCTTAATCACCAAGGTGAGGTGACTAGCATGCTCTTCCTCATTTTGCTATAAATCAGAATGTCGTCAAAGTAGACAACAACAAAATGACCTATAAACGGCTTCAAGACTTGATTCATAAGCCGCATGAACGTGCTCGGGGCATTGGTTAATCCAAATGGCATAACCAACCATTCGTATAACCCAAATTTTGTCTTGAACGCTGTCTTCCACTCGTCTCCTTCAAAGATTCGAATTTGATGATATCCACTCCTAAGATCAATTTTTGAAAAAATCTTGGAGCCATGCAGCTCGTCCAACATATCTTCCAAACGGGGAATCGGATATCGGTACTTGATAGTGATCTTGTTGAGTGACCGACTATCGCAGCACATACGCCACGTTCCATTCTTCTTGGGTACCAAAAGTGCCGGGACAGCACACGGGCTAAGGCTTTCTCTTATGAAGCCCTTAGCTAACAACTCATCAACTTGACGTTGAATTTCCTTCGTTTCTTCGGGGTTCATTCGGTATGCGGGTTTGTTGGGTAGGGCAGCCCCCGGAATGAGGTCAATTTTGTGTTGGATGTCTCGTTTAGGAGGGAGACCGTGTGGAACATCATCAGGGAAAACATGGGCATATTCTAGGATGATAGGCTCGGCTAAGGGATGAGGCTGTTTTGGGCAGTTGACTGGTTCAGCTTCTCCATCTTCCAATAGGATCAAATCTTTAATCCCACTGAATTCATGTTGTTCCGCTTGAAGGATAGTGGAGATAAGAATGGGAGGTTGTTCTTTGGTTGGTTTGGCCGTGGGTGTAGGAGGAGGTAAAGGGGTAAGGGTGATCTTCTTCTTATTCATAAAAAATGAATAAGTATTGGCATAACCATCGTGTTGCACACGATGATCAAACAGCCATGGCCGTCCCAGGAGGATGTGGCAAGCATCCACCGGAATGATATCACACCACCACACATCGTCTTTGTACGAGCTGCCAATGCTCAAGGAAATGAGACTTCCTGTATCAACACGTAGACCCTTGCAATGATTCAACCATTGAATCAACACGTAGACCCTTTCCAAGTGGTTTTCAACATTTTATGATTTGTTTTTACTTCGGGGCATATTTAAATAGTTCTCCAACAAAAACGCTTCAAAAACCACCTTTCGTTTTTGGTCGTTTAGTGAAAACCATGCAAAATGGCACAAACTTGGCTAGCCGTGGTTTTTATCTAAATGACGTGGTTTTTAGAATGTTTTACTTGATTTCTTAGCCAAATGCATTAAACAAATGTTTTCAATACTTGGTTTTTATTTCGGAGAACTTACATTTTTGACATCGGCTAACGGCATGACTAAACCAACCATGGGTCTGGCTAAACCAGCCCAACAGCGATGTTTGTGAAGTTCGTGTTGTGATCTTGAGCGTATTACTGTACTCATTTTCACTCTTTTGAGAGAGCCTTGTTCTTTAGTGTTCTTAGTGTTTATAGACGTTAAGGGAAGTTTGTTTGCATTTTTTGTACGAAGGAAAGGTGTTTTTCCTTCAGGTTGAAGTCTTGGAGTGTGGTATCTCCGAGCAAGTATTGTTGAGGCTCGTGGGACTCGAGTTCTCAAG